AAGGTTTTCCGACGCGTGAGCTGGCCATATACAGTTGTCCATGCGAGAAGCGCGGATTCTCCAAATTTAACCCACACACTCGCAGCGATTGTCAGAAGTGCGATATTCCTCATTTTTATATATTTATTAAAATCCTTTATAATTTTCATTATTTAATGTGATAACTTTCAACTCTCTGATCTCTAGACTTAGTAAATGACTAGAGTCTAGAGATCAGAGATCTTTAGACTCTAGTCATTTACTAAGTCTAGAGATCAGAGAGTTTGACTAAAGCTAACTAAATGACTGGTCTAGAGTCTAGAGATCAGAGATCTCTAGACTCTAGAACAGTGTTCCGCAACCTTTTTCTACTTGCGGCACACCCATGACTCAACACGGCACACCAAAATGTTATTCCCCTCAAAAACGTATGATATGATACTATTAATAGAATTACGTAATGCCACTAACCTATTATTATTGTTATTAAACAGACATCAACACCTGTGAGCAAATTTTTTTTACATATAATTTCTTAGAATACATAAAAATGCGTGGCTTGTAATAAAGAATAAACAAACATAATCTTATTTCATGAGTACTGCGGCAGAGAATGAAATACAAGCATAAGAAACACAACAACTGTGATAAAAATATATAAATAAAATCTGAAATTAACAAAATATGTAAAAGTTCACGTCACACCTTTCACCATGTGACGGCACATCAGTGTTCCGCGGCACACCGGTTGCGGAACACTGGTCTACAACACAAAACTGTTTGTATCATCTTACAAAGGTATGTCTTGGATTCTAAATTATTAACTGGAATGTCTTATCTCCCACAAGTGATTTCCTTCATCACACATTATTGACAGAATCCGATGGTTTTCCATTCTGACCATATACTAAAATCAGAAGCAAGAGGATATGCATTTTTTAAAAAGTGCATAGCCTTTTGCTACTGACTGGAATTAACATTCAAAGATTTATAGAAATTAAGAATTAGAGAAACCATCTTTAGTTTTTGAACCATGTACTGTAACTTAAATAATAATAAAAAGCACTAGACCATGGATCGGCAACCTTTCAGCAGTGTTGTGCCAAACCTAAGTTATTGTGTTATTCAGTGTGCTGACAAGATTCTACTAATCTTGTTATACTGGTATATATATTATCAAAATTGGTCCAATTATAATGGACTTCAAAAATATATAATTTTGAAGTTAAGTTGTTAATTAAATTATGTTCTTGTGTGTGAAGCACATGAAAAACACATAGTTGACGACACGGAGCATAAACACATGCATTGTAATACAACATATAAGCAAGAGATTCATTTTTAATGTACCGCGGCCAACACTGAACTATGGCTTCCATTTAAATATGTAATTAATAATTAAAATATAATTTTTACTACATTTATATTCAATCAGTGCACCACTAAAAATCATCCTGCGTGCCACAGATTGCCGACCCCTGCACTAGACTATAATATACAAAGAATTTGACTATATGATTTTAGCTGCAAAGTGAAAGAACTGAATTTTAATTTCTGAAAACTCATATTTGTGAAAATATTTGATAAGCTATTAATATTAAGAAAGCTGAATTACTAGACTGAAATTTTTCTATTTTCCTTTTTTTTTTTTTTTGTATTCAAGGCATCAATGCAGAATTATGTGGTTAGCAACAATTTTGTCATTATGAGTAGACCAGACATGCAAACTAGCTAACTGAATTGATTAGCAAGGTTGTGGCCAAAGTTTTCAATGTGAAAACATGAATGTCCGATGTTCACGTTTTCATGTTGAAAACTTTGGCTGCAACCTCACTATTGTAACAACAGAAAGTCCATTATCATGTAATTATTCACTAATTAGAAATATAAGTTTGAGAGTTTGTAGATAATTGTGTTCTTCATTTTAATTTTAAAAATATGTATACTAAATAATATAAAATAGCTTCTAAAAGTGCTTTTTAAATTTTATTGCATTAATTAAACTTGTTTTTTTATACTTTGAAAAAGTTTTTTATTTACAATTTTATTATATGAGATTTATATCAAAACACATAGCTAATTTTAATAATACTGACATATTTTTAAAATTATAGTTATTAATAATACTGAATTATTTTTAAAATTTGTTTTGTTTTCTGTATTTTTATTTGAAATTTGTATTGATTATATATAGCTGAAACTAAACTTTCATGCAAAGTTTAAAACTATGTTCTAATTAGAGAAAATTTAGAAATAATACTGATGATGAGGTTATATTAATTTAATATTTAAATTCTTTATAATAATAGTGATGATGATATATTATGTATGTATGTATGTATGTATGTATTGTGTGTGTTTCTTTTGTATAGAATATAAAATCAAAATATTTGATTTATAAAATATTACTTTGAATAATTATCAATAGTGATATAATGATAACTTATCACATCACTGCAACTTATAAAACTGGAGTAACTTGTTAAAATGCAAGTTGCATAATTTATTAGTTTTCTCTTTTATTTCTAAAAGATAAACTAGAAGATAATTTTTTCTTTAATCAATAAAATTTAAAATATATTTTAGTATTTAAATATATTTTTCTTACACTAAAGTAAGAAAATGACTTTAAAATGTTAGAAAAAAATATAATTTTAGAATAAAATAATTATTATTGAGGCTTATAGATATGACTGAAAACTTACTAATTACCAAATAAAACTTATTTCTTGAATAGAATAGACTGAAGGAAAGCTATTATTATCCAAATGCATAAATTAAAATTCAATATTTTAGTCTAGTAGATGTGTAAAATGTTTAATTTCTTCAGAGATTCAATATTTCCTTCCTAATGTTTATGAAAATTATAATTAAGACTTCATTAAATAAAATACAGGATCACTTAATTACCTGTGGAGGTTCAAAATTTGGTCGCCACCAATTTCCCACAGTGTCTTCTATAATCCAGTCTGTCTGTTGAACACCATCCTGACGACCTAATATCTAAAAAAATTTTGAGATTTTTATTAATAATATAATATACAGTTTAAGCAAACATTGTGAACCCAATAAATTCATAAAGCAAAACAACCACCAAATTACATCAAGCTACTTTTCTGTAATTATATTTTAATTAATTACTAAATAATTTGTCACTAGAGGAAATTTAATTGTTTAGTAATTAATTAAAATATAATCACAGAAAAGCAGCCCAATGTAATCCGATGGTTGTTTGGCTTTAATAGTTTAATTATATCTAGCCTGAAAAGAAAATATTTAATCCAAGGCATGATGAATTTATCTGCTAAATGAATATTGTAATACTAGGAGTTTCATAACTTTGCAGTATGATCCATGAGAAGTATATCATAAGCTCTATACATTTTTGTTGTATATTAGTTTTGTGTGTTTTTAGATTAAATAACTAATAATGCATTTTAAAAGAATTAAGAATAAGACAAAAAAAATATTGTAATTTAATTATGCAGAATTAATTAATAAACATACAAATGGCATTTAAAATCAACTGTTTTGCATGCAATGATGTTTGAGACATCAAGAAAAAATTTGATAACTCAATTTTATTTTTTGAAATTTTAATTTTCCTAGTAACACGAACATCTCGCAACTGTACCATTTCCTTTTCTGTAAGAAGTCTGCTTCTACTTAAACATTTCATGCTATTCAGTTAGGTCAATGTAGCTTTATGTAAACAGAATATCCCTTGAAGTAAATACTGCATCTTTCAATAAGAGAAAAATTCAACAGAACTTATTTTGCTACTTCTTTTCAGTAAAATACACTTTGCAACAGAAAAATACATAAACTTTTAACAAATATTTATTTAGAAATAAGCACTATTTTAGATAAATTTAAAAATTTAATTTATTTTCCATATTAATTTATTATGCAGAACTTCATACCACACCATCATTTTATGGTCAAATCAATAAATGACTTATTATATAACTAAATTATTTATTATATATTACAGTTATTCAATTATTAAATTCAGATTTTATTTACAAATATTACTGAATAATAAAATATCTATTATACAAGAAAATATGCATCAACTCAATTTAATTACTAATGACAAACAAACTGCTGGATTATTTATTGGGCTATAATAAGGCTAATTTAATGATTAGATATAAAGTAATTTGGCTATAGGTAGGCAGTTGTATTGCCACCTAATGATAAATTTAATAATCATTGGATAGCAGCCTAACCACCCACCTAGAGCCAAACTGCTCTATATCAAATAATCTGGCATTTCATTTTGAATTAGTAAAATTTGTCAGGTTTTTATTGGAGGACAAAATAAAACATCTATTATCTCAATAAAGAAAGAATATAAAATAAGTATATTTAGAAACTGTAAAAATATGAAATACATTAATCATATTGTCTGTAAATTTTAGAAAGGATGCTTTCATTCTCCTTATTACATCACTTTTTTTTATCTCAGATTGTGTGTTTTGAATTACTATCATCATCATTTTTTTCTGGTCAAGATTTGATGAAATTATATCATCAAGCTTTTTATACATAAAAGAATATGCATTCTTGAAAACAAATTCTGCCATAATGTAATTTTTTCAGTGGGTATTTTTTAAGCATTTCCAATAATAATCTTCTTGACCCACAGATATGTCATATATAAAAATAGTTTTCATGCATTTCAGGTTTGAAACAACAGCCTGATAATTAATCAATAATCAACACTAATTTATAATGTAAACTTGTGGTTTTGTGAAATTTTAATAACTCTTAAAAATAATTTTTACACTTTATATTAAAATTATACTCAATGTTTTTAAAGATTTCAGACTGTAAATCAGTGTTTTCAGTCTACTTATAATAGTGGCACCTCCAACTTAGTATTTTTTTTTCTTGCAGCACCCTTACACTTCTTTAACAATGTAGTTATTGAAATTTTGCAATACATGCAAAAAGTATTATGGTGCTGCTCAGCACAATATTTCACAGCATAGCCTGAAATGTCATTGCAACATCCTGGTTGAAAAATCACCATCATAAATTTTAATTTTTTCTACAACTAAAAATCTTATTTCTTTATCAGCCTAATCAGAATTAATCATAATTATTTCTTATATCATTGTCTCTCCCATGAATATATTTATCATTTAATTGTCAAACATTTTATATAACAATTACTTAAAAATTATTTAGGTTCCTCTATATTAAACATACTTTTATTCTTTCAAACTTTTTAAAACAACAGCCTCAACTGAACACACACATCTTTATTCACGAGTTTTTGAATTTTGCCACGAGAGCATATGCCTTGGCAGCCATTAAAATACTGCCAGTCATTAGTGTAAGTCTGCAATTTTTTAGTTTTTCACTGGCAACATGCCTTATAAAACCTGTTCAGGTAGATATTGTGCAGTGGTTGACTGTATTAATAGCCAGAAAGTTTGTTATAAGTGGTTTAAAGCTGTTTGCGATATACACAAAAACGTGATGCAAAGATTGTCCGTTTATCCAACTGTTCCAGTTACATTCATTTCCACATGATGAAAATCTAAGAAGAGAATGAGTAACTAGCCATGCATTTTGATCCAGCTAGATAAATAACCTTGCCATCATAAGACACACAAGTCTATATAGAAGTATTACTTGCAGATAGGGTTTGTGATGGCTCTACATTTGTCTTAAGGACAAGTGTTCTGTGACAATTTATTAATTAATTAAAATTTCACCCACTTTACCACTTGAAAAATAATTATGAGTCAAGACTCCTATAATTAAGCATTTTTTGATAATCACAGGCTTTACTTTTAATAAAGTATTCAAATACAGCTAGATATTCCAAAGGTGGCATTCTTGTGTTGTTATTCCATGATTTTATAGTAATAATTGGTGAAAACTACTGTCCATCTGAAAATAAATTATATAATCCAAGTTTGTACAAGAAACTGCAAAAATCTGAAAACTTGCATTTGACCTAATTCTACAATATTCTGTGAGTAAAATATTCACAAAATATCATAGAATTAGGTACTACTTTATGAATTAAATGGCAATATAAATATTTCTGGATATATAATAACAGTGGAATATTAGTAAAATTATAGAATCCAATTTTGCAGATTATTTTCTAGAGAGAAAAAAATTAAAAAATAGATTTTAAGTTTTCTTAATTTTACTTTAAATTTTTAAGTTTTAAGATATTTCTCCACCATGCAAATAGCACACTTTTTTTCTTTACGTTAAAAATTTAAACTTGCATAAAAATGATTGAAAATACTCTCTTTATAATTTAAAATATAAAAACCCTTATAATTACTAACAAAGTTGTTGTTACGAATGAATTTCTATTAGTCATTTCAAAATCAATTATATTCTCAATTCTAAAGTTCTGCAGTTTTGTTGTAATTGCAGTATCTTAATGCGGCATGATAGTGGTGGCTACAATATAGGAAAATATATGAACCTTCTCTGGAAACTTGTGGATAAACAGCTATACTTTTTCCAGATGCTATGCAATGCTTTTTCCTGAATTTATCCAACAAGTCAATTCTTTATTTTTTTGACATTTTCAACAATCCAAATGTATATTTTCATAAGCACACCAAGCAACCAAGGGATACACACCAGATTCATCAGGCCATAACTTAGCTAATTAAATACATAAATAAGATGACAAATTAGTTACCTACAATTTAGTTCAAATTACTTTTTATCATTATATTTAATTAGCCAAGTTATGGTTTGATAGATCCAGTGTTATCATTTGATTAATTTACAATTTTGGACTTAGTTTACAGTAAAAGTATATAGCTTTTATTAATAAGCAAGACAATAAAATAATCCATGAAACAGCATAAGCATATACATATCAATGTAAATATAATTCTTTCTGTTTTCTATTAAAACTACCTCTATAGGTTTATTTTAATATTTTCTCAAAACTCTTTAAAATCAACAGTAATTAAAATGATAGACTAAATATTAAAATTTGGTGTTCTATCAATTATCAGTTTCTTTCAATTTTTAATATTTTAATAACTGAAAAGAACTATAATCAAAATGTAATGAGATGAAATGACATTTTTGATTGCATGATATCAAATTTGAAACTGAATTGAAAAATCAACAAAATAAAAATCGTTTTTATTAAATTGACATTTATTAAGTTTATTTGTAATTAAAAAATTGCCAAATAAAATATCTGTAAAATAGCTAATACTAAGAAGAAGGCTGTTTTGAGGATGCATAAGATGATGGTGCCAAGTATGATGTCAGTGCAGCATAAAGTGGATTTGATGACATCGGTAATTTTAATAATTCAGAATCCAGAATTGCGAACAAAGGGTTGGGAGATGAACCAATGGATGTCGGACAGTTTGACAACCCCGAACCAGAACATTAATTTTTTTATATATTGATTTCAGGAGTCTGTAGAAAAAATACCATGGTTCTCATAATATTGCATCATTTATCTTATCATTGAGCTAATACTATTATTTAAAATTTGATTTGATTTATTGATTTAACTTACCAATACACAAAGGTCTCAATTTGTCCATTATAGATTAACCTGTCTTATAATATAGTCTGAATAGAATTTTTATCCTAATTATCCAAGGAAAATTATGAGAGTCTGAATTAAATTTGTACTTTATGGCAACAGAAATGTCTTAACATTTAATCATTCAAATCAATATTTTGCTAAATAGCCATTTGTCAATTATGCTGTATAATATGAAGGAAAGATTTTTTTAATACTAATTTATGAAACAAATGATATATTAATGTAATATGTACAGTACATAATAAATATAAATCATCAATTTTTATTAAAGATAAATAATCAGAATAAATATCTAAGGTAGCAATTAATTATAATGATGATAATATTTAATTAAGAATGATTAAAAACTATTTTACATACTTCCGTCATTAATCTTTTTAATCCTTCAATTTCATCTTCACCTGGATCCAATTCTCCTCCAGGTCTAAAATTTTGAAAAATATTTAAAATTATCTAAATTAAAATCATATTAAAATAATTATATATTATTATTACAACCCATTCCACAATACAAACTTCTATATAATCCAATTAACATGTCTTAAAAATAACTAATAAGTAGATATATTAATTTTTCTCAGAAATGTATGAAATAGAAACAACTTTTAAGGCAAAATTATATTTGCAAAGAAAGTTTTTGATCATATTCAATATAAAGAAAAATTAAGTAAAATAAATCAAAGAAAGCAATTGATGATTTAATATCATCAACAGATATTCCTTCCTTTTTCAAATTCACACAAAACATCCAATTGTCTGCTCATATTTAAGATCAATTGATATGCAATAGATTATTCAAAGTCATTACCCAAAATTTATCTTCTTTATATTGTTGTTTTTGCTATTGTCTTGTTGGATTAGAATTATACATTTCACTGTATTATCATCTATGAATTAATTTATTACTACAGTAGAACCCTATTAGCTGAGCCCCAGTTTAATTTACATAATGCAGAGTTTGAGATATATATGTAAACATTCTCTGAATCGACAGATTCAAAATATGAAGTTTGGTTAAAATATGTTCAAGTGTTTTCCCATAATGTGGAAACAAACATCCAAACTGACAGACTGATCATTACAGTTTTATTTATATAGATTGATTTTCACAATAAAATTCATAATGGTTTATTGGTTATATAAAAAGATAAAATAAACCTAATCAAGCTAATTTAAATTTTCTACTTATACATTGTGTATGGAAATTAATTTTGCATATGTACAAATATTGCAATTTAACAGAAATAGCATGTAAATATGAGCATAGCTTAGGTCCTTGTTGCTGTATATGAAAACCAGGAGAGTCCAATGAAGATTATTTTATTCATATGTTTTCTTATAATTAATTTTACTATTGATTTGTCAGTATGATTATAAGAAAATATAGTCCTGATTTTCTGTTTAATCTTTTGATTGACAAACATTATAGCAATAAAAAAAAAATGATTTTATCATTAGAGTTAATATAACAAGTACAGTACTTATAAGTGACTGCAACATTAGCTAGTTACTGCTCAAATTCCTTATGAATCTCAGGTGGTAATAATAAAATAATACACAATACAATACTAATCCATAATCCTTTTTATCCTTAAAAAAAATAACAAACTAAAAATATTTTTAACTAGTTGATTGACGAGCTAAAAATATCTTGGGAGAACACTGATGTTTTTTTTTACATTATAGTGGTGCCTCAGACTTCAAATTTAACACGTTTCAGGAGATAGATCATTTGAACTCTAAATTGTTTGAAGTTTGAATCAACTTTTCCCATTAGAAATAACAGAAAGTGAATTGATCTGTTTCCAGACCTTAAACAATACTCATCCTGATAAATTTAAACAGCAAATACACATAATTTAGGGTAAAAATACAATTAAATGCTGTAAATAATAAATTAAGTATGAAAACAAATAAAATACATAAATACAGTATAATAAAATAAAAATTGCATTTACTGGTTACACACCATTGACCTCAGCATCTTAAACATAGCCACCAAATCAGCCACACGTGTAACACTTTCATGCTTTACAATAAGTTCATTTTTTTTTTTATCTCAATTGTTAATTCTATAACCCTCCTCTTAGGCTTTGTTGCTTCCACACTCTTAAATTCATGGTTAATAGGTAGGGGTTATACATATAATCAAACACACCAAAAATAAAGTGAAAAAAACACTGAACATAATGCAAGAGATGCTTTCACACTAAGAGTGAGATGACTTGGGCACACAATAGATGGCATTTACACAGCAAGCATATTTTTTCACATGTTCAGTTCAAATTCCAGATCAAGTTTGAGGTACCACTGTATTTTATTTATAATGTGAATGTAACATTCACATTATAAATAAAATACGAGCCTTTAATCAATTGACCATGATCAAATAAATCAATCAAAGAATCCTAATCAATCATTTTAATAGAGAAGAATATAATATAGATTTAATTTCAAATTCAAAGATATCATTAGCATAAAACAAAAGAGAAACAAATTATTTTATCAAAAAAATAATTTACCAATTTAATTAGTGAAAACTATTTCAGCAATATATTTTAACTTATAGTTTAATGTATTATGGGTAATTATTGTAAAGTACTATAACAATTAATCATGATACTTTTATCCAATATACCATACCAACTGATCCACAAAAGATTACTTTCAGTTATAATGAAAGTAACTGATAATAGTTACTAAGCTTTTGAACTTGGAAGCTTTGTTGTCATTAATTAGAATTTTTTACATGTAATATTTAAAGTAAATGGACTTTGACTACTTGGATTTACAGTCAAGAACTATAATGTTTATATTATAATTGTTTTTATAACTGTACCTCAGTTTGAATTATAATATTATCATCATCTTTAATCATTTATGTAATTGAATAAAGACAGTATATTATTCCTTAATATTTATTAAACCTTTTACTATATCTGTATAAATGTGCAAATTTAAAAGACAAATATTAAAAACACTTACAGCTTGAAGAATGTGGTACCTAATTGTAGGAGTAATACATGAGGTAAACCATGTTCATGTACCAACAGAACCCCTTCAGCAGAGCGACGCATCCCATATTTTTCAAATTCTTCTCTCATGCGCCGAAATCGAGCTGGAACAGAGCTATCTTTCTCAAACAAAGGTTCTTTTGTTCCAAATGTATAATTTGTAAGTGGATAGCTGAACAAAAAATTAAAAACATATTTTTATTAAAATAACCCAAAACACTTATTTCAAAAATTAACAAATGCTTTAAATTTTCAAAACATTAATGACAGAATTTGATGAAAAATATAGTCTCCAGCAATATACATTACAAATTATTACTTTACAATGACTTAGTTGTAATATATAAAAATGTTAATAAAAACCAGACCATTAATGACAAATTCAGATTAAAAAATATATGATAGAAAAATTTATTATAGAAAAATCTAAAATTCTTCTATTAAATAGACTGGACTCTGAAGTTTCTCCCTTTACAAAATCAATATCATAGTATCAATTACAGTATAGTTATCTAAATAAGAAATGTATGTAAATAATATAGTCTAACAAAAGAATCTATTTGTACAATTCCTTACATAAAATAATTTATTAAAAAAGTATTGTAATATGAAGGTTATTTTCTTCAACCTTCACTAACACACAAAAAAAATTGGAAGAATGTGAGACAGGGAAAGGGTACAACCTAGTGAATAGTATATTTCCTCATCACTTAGCATTGTGCCAAGCTATTTTAGACATTTTCTACTCTGTAGACATTTGCAATAAACATGTAAACATGATGCTGCCAATCCAGTCTCCTGCCAACCCTGAAGTACAAGCAGTAATTTGATTTCTACAGGCCGAAGGGCTGAATAGTGGTGAATTCATTGAAGGATGTGTAATGTGTATAGCGAGAACCTCTTGAGCTACAGATGTGTGTGTAAATGATGCAGGATATTCAAACAAGGATGTGACAATGTTCATGATGACAGTGGTCAAGGGAGGAAGTGTATGATGACCGACAATTTTTGGTGGACAAAGTGGATTAATTGGTGAGAAAGGCATTGGTTCACGATTCCTGAGCTCAAAGAGGAGTTTCCTCAAATTTCAAAGTCCACACTGTATACTGCTGACTGACAGTATTAAAGGTTGGCTGAATGACTTGATGGCAACACTCTTCGACATGGGTATACAAAAACTGGTATCATGGTATGATGTCTGCCTGAATCAAGAAGGCAATTATGTGGAAAAATAGTGAAGACTGTTACTACCTTCTACAAATAAAGTGGTTTTGTTCTTCATTCTTTTTTTTTATTCTGGATTGGTGGAGGTTGAAAAAAAAATAACCCTCATATTTTATTTTAAAACATTATGCATATTCTTTATACTACATAATAATTTCATTAATAAACAAATTAAGCAAGCATATTATACAAAGAGAACTTTAAATGATAGAATAGCAGAACAAAAATCAATGTTAAGATAGATATGCCAGTATAAATATTTTATACTGGAAGACATTGAATAAAAATATGAGAATTAATAAGATTGATGTTGAAATTTTAGACAAAAAAATGTGCAAAGATTAAAAAGTAATTGAATGGAATAAACAATAAACAATCAGAATAAAGAATTATTATTATGAATAGAAAAACAAGATTCTGAATACTAAATTTTTAATTACAAATGAAAAAAAAATCAGAACAACTTTAATAAAAATAAACCTAGTTTTTAAAAATAATATACTTATGAATGTTTAATATATTAAAACAAGTATTGAAATGCTTGAATTTTGTTTAAAATCAATCTTCTTTCTATATATTGATGTTTTTTTCTTAAACTGAAACATTCCATTTAAAAAAATTGAAAATGTGCAATTCTATAAGAAATTTCTTTAATCTTTGATTAACTTTAAGAAAATATTCATGATATATGACATCTTTACAAGCCCTAATATTAAATTGAAAAAATTTTATTATATTGTAAAACATGAATTACAATGTAGATAACTGATTGCTATGTATACTATTAACATAGAAAACTAAAAAATAAATAAAGGATCCTTCTTGCTGGAGTGCCAAAACTGCAATATAGTTTTTATGTCAATATAGAGAATGTTTACCATATAGATGCACCTCTCTTATCTCAAGGTTAAGGTTATTATGCTTAAGAAAGGCTATTCAAACCCTGCACAAACCTTATGGGAAATGTGTTCTGGTAAATTTTGCAGAATTTTTGATGTTTTGTAGTTCTAGTGGTCTTGATCAAGTTTCCATAGACACAAAATGAAAAAATTTACAGTTTTTGAGTTATCAAGAGTCCAAAATGCAAAAAACAATGTAATTCATGCATGTGTTGTGAGATCCTACATTTTATATTTTAAAATATAGATTTATGGCTTTACAGCATGTGTGAATTACATTGAGTTTTGAATCTTGGACTCTTGATTACTCAAAAACTGTCCATTTTTTGATTTTGCACCTATGGAGACTTTTGATCACGATCACTAGAACTACAAAACAGTTTCAGCCAAATACACCATAATATATTTCCTACAATGTTGTACAGTCTTTTTATATCATTTACTCCAAATATTTTTGGCAGTTCTTAAATCATCAAACAAAATCATTAGCTTTTATAACTATCATGACTTAAAAATAAGTGAATTCAAAACAAAATGTTCTTAATAAAATATTTAAAAAATGAAGATAAAAAAATAATTCTTTATTTTCCTTTAATACTCAAAATTTATTTCATTGGTAGAAATTAATATCATCTCACCCTGAATAGTGGAGTTTCCTAAATGATGGAACATGGAATGTTAATTGTCAAAATAAATACAAACATTTAACTATAACAAAATACAAAATGTGAATACAAACATATTCATGTTTTTCATTGTAATATTACCAGGAAACAAAATAAAAATAATAGATTAGATTAGGTAAATATTAAATTATAAAATAATAAAAGGCAAATTAAAAAAGATAATAAAAAACAAAAAATAAGGAACTAGCCAAGAAACAGAATTCTATGGTGGTATACAAATGTCATCTAAATATATAAAATTACTTGTCATGACTGACTGACTCATCAGCAGCCAGAGCAAACCATTGTACCTGAAGGTGAAATTTTGTACACAGTTAAGGTGTCATGAAAACGCACACTAAGAAAGGATTTTTGGAAATTCCTCCATGGGGGAAAGGGAGAGGATTATGGCTTAACCTGAAGAACGGCTTCTACTATACTATTTTGGATGTAATTTTTTGTTTTCAACTACGTTTAGTCTTCATTGAGTACTTAGGTGTATTAAATTGATAACATTGTTATAAATATTTTTATATATTTCAATTTTTTAACCAAATGTTCGAACTGTTTTAAATTTGAATTTGTTACTGCATATTGGTTCGATTATAGAACGATTGTAAACATTCCAGAAAATTGATCAAATTGAAAACAGGTCACAATTTCATGATGAACTCAGGATATTTTTCTTCTAAATATCAATTAGAGTTCAGACTATGTACAAAAAATTATTTAATTAATTTTTGAGTCTATCAAATCCTTTTTTCATACACCATAGAAGTAGCCTTTACATTGGTTTGAAGAAATCACTTCATAAAAACGAATAACAATAGGTAAAATTTACAATTAAAAATGATCAGATGTCAGCTTTTCATTTTAGGTATCTGACGCCTTAACATTAAAAATTAAGTAAATCTTCTTACCAACTGCCAAGTTTTATACCATCTGTATCAGGTTCAAGCCCTCTAGCGGTGGACACGAGTTATCTTTGATTTGCATATAGTTACAATTCCATGATGAACTCTGGATATTTTTCTTCTAAGTATCAATTAGAGTTCAGACTATGTACAAAAAATTATTTAATTAATTTTTGAGTCTATATGCAAATCAAAGATAACTCGTGTCCACCACTAGAGGGCTTGAACCTGATACAGATGGTATAAAACTTGGCAGTTGGTGAGAAGATTTACTTAATTTTTAATGTTAAGGCGTCAGATACCTAAAATGAAAGGCTGACGTCTGATTGTTTTTAATTGTAATTTTAACCTATTGTTATTCGTTTTTATGAAGTGATTTCTTCAAACCAATGTAAAGGCTACTTCTATGGTGTACGAAAAAAGGATTTGATAGACTCAAAAATTAATTAAATAATTTTTTGTACATAGTCTGAACTCTAATTGATACTTAGATGAAAACAGGTCATTTGATTCTCAGCAATTCTCATCATTCTCAGCAATAGGTGTTATATATAAATTACTATGGTTGTTGAAATACTAAATATAAATGGGGTTTGCTTGCAAAATCCACATGTGCGAAGTCACAGGTAACAGCTAGTCCTACAATATGCAGTATTTTAAGAAACAATAAGGATAGAATCTGAGGTATAGAAATGGGAATATATCTTATACTGGCTAGGATGAACAGCATTAACATGCATATGGCCTACATTGGTTATACAAGTAGGAACACAAGTTGAGATGCCATAATTGCCTACACACAGAAATATGCATTAACTAACAACAAGATCTCACACACCATTGTAATTTAATATATATATTTAATACATACATAATTAAATCTGTTGTTTTTTATTTTGTTTCATTGTAATACAGTAGAGCCTCGATTATCCGACTCAATTGGGGACTGGGGTTGGTCGGATAATTGAAAAGTCGGATAACCGAAAAGTATGAAAAAATCCATTACAGTAGAGCCTCGATTATCCGACCCAATTGGGGACTGGGGTTGGTCGGATAATTGAAAAGTCGGATAACCGAAAAGTATGAAAAAATCCATTATTAGTGTAGTATATTATTATATCCCATGTAATTAGTATATTAGTATATCACTATTAACCTACTTCGCGTTGAATTTTCATCGATGTTAAGCCTAACATAAATTTTTTAAAATAATAATCATCGCTATTGTATCGTTAAAAATTAGAAAATTAAGCCTCGTTTAAATACTGGCTCCCTTTCATGGTCAAATGAGTGTTGCCAGCTAAAACATGTAAAAATAATATTAAAGTAGCCAAGACATAGCCAAATATTGTAGCGCCACATCACTAGCGGACATTTGAAATTTGCCAACTAGGACGGTCGGTTAATCGGGGGTCAGATAATCGAGGCTCTACTGTATTGCAAACATGAATTCTTTATTTGAATATGTTTATATACAAAACTTGGTATTTTGTTGTAATAAAATGTTCAGTTTTGTTCAAATGTTAGTATTTATTTTGACAATTAACATTCCGTGTTTCATTGAGAATAGTTATATGTCCTAAAGATTGTCTAACAAATTGACTGAAAACATTTGATTTTAAAAAGTCCTCTGTTCAGGGCATGATTATTCCATTAGCAGTTAAAAAAGTTGGTATCAAATGTCAGAAATTAATGTAATAAAATGTCATAAGTTAATTAGTAAGAATATTGTTATTATTCCAAAATTAATTATTCAATGCTTTCAAATTTCAGTAAAGATAATAAATTTATGTATTACTTTTCTCTTAGCAAAGACAAAATATATCAATTTATTCAGTAAAAATGTAATATTTAAAAGCATTGAATAATAAGTTTTGGAATTTTAACTTGAAACATTTTATAATGATTTGTTTTCTAACAATATGAAGAATCCCTTGCAACAAGCATCAAATAAGAGTGATATAGTTTTTTAATTAGTTAGTATATTTGGAAAAAACTGAAAAGACAACAAAACAGACATTATTTATATTACTGTATTTTCATTTCATATTTTTAATAGTACTACAAATTTTTACTTTTCTCATATAGACCTTTTAACATATAAAATGATTCAGGAATGTGCCTTGTACATTTAATGTATGGACGTGGCTATTTATACATACTGACTGTATGTTCCTATATTCCAGCCAGATACTGACTGTATGCGCTATTATTACAATTAATATTTTGATAATAACTACACAATTATAAAGAAGTATAATTTTATTTATTAAAATTCAGTTACAATGTTGTTCAATAAAGTGATCAATAAACTATGAAGTATGATTAAATCAGTGAAATATAGGTAATGAAATTTAAAGTAGATTGGTAGGAATACCAATAAAGTAAAATAAATATATTTTTTATTCTGTATTTTAATTTTTTTTTTTTTGTAAACAGTGGTCTGCTCAGTCTTTCGCTTCAAATGTCCTTTGGATTTAATTTTTGTTTTGAATTTTAAGTTTTTATTTGATTGATTTGAACAGGGCTCATTATTAGACCAAATTTGTTCTTCAGGTTCTGGTTCAATTGTACTAAGCCCACTATTCTCATGTTCAGAAAGAGAAATTCCATTTCTTGCATTGCTTTCTATTATTTAATTTCTCTACATATTTATTGAAGGTTTGCATTCCATAATTAGACAAAATATCTGCAATATTTTTAGTTTTCATCAGTGCTGTATTAAATTTTTCCCTATCCAATAATATTTTGTTGGGACAATCAAAATCATCAGAAAAAGTTTCATCTTTAATATGATCATCGATATCTACATTTACATCATCTGTATCCATACTTAGTGCATTTTTAATTGAAATAATATATCTTGCACGAAAGCAAGTTTTTGAAAATACAGTGGAACCTCAGTATACAACCTTAATCTGTTCCCGATGTTTGGACTTATACTGAATTGGACATATATCAGTGGAATTATTTATTAATAGGAATACAGTGTATTCCTATTAATAGAAATACACTGATATAGTGATTAAAAGAATAATTTTGATATACCAAACCAACCTTTCCCATAAGAAGTAATGTAAAAATGATTAATCTGTTCTCGTGTAAAAAAAAATGGCTGGCTTTAAACACCTCGCTTTCCTGGCTAGTTCCTGCTTGATTTTTCGTGAGATCAGCATGTATCTTTTTAGCTTTCTCGCAAATAATTGCTTCCAATACGCTGTCTCCAGCACTGTTTTTCAGTTATCCAAAGCAAAAGCAATTTCTCAACATAATTTAATGTCTTCGATCTCTGTTTAGAAATTGATTTAACCCCTTTCGCAA